TACACACACATACACATACACACACATACACATACACAGACATACACATGCACATACACAGACATACACATACACACATATACACACAGTAAAAACTAGTTTCTCAAGAGACCATTCATTACTGGAAATTTTACTTTTGATCGGTACTGATAAACTATCGGTCGGAAAGAGACATTCATTACATAGCTGTACTGCCTGGTAACATTGAACTTTCGTCATAATTTTGTTTGTTTTCTGGATGTTAAATATAATATTTTTTTATATTTAATTTATGAATAGCGTGACCGATACGCTAATGCATACATAATATTACTGCACGTTGTCATATTTATTTATTTGCTTATATGTTGCAAAGCAGTTCGTTTATTTTTGACATATTTTCGGAGTTTTTAATAACGGGAATAATTTGCAGAACTGGAAAATGGGGAATTCTCGTTTATCGCTTAATGAAGCATTTTTTATGGATGGGCCACCCAGAGCACGACCATCATCGATGCTTCCAATGCCATCAATTATACCTATTCCGCCACCAACTCTAAAACAATTCAAAAAATGGCAAAAGAGGCAAAAAAAAATATTGAAAAAAATGGGCTCCATTCCCGCGAATATTATTCCACCCCATGCACCACTAACACCTCTCTTACAATATTCTCGTGCTTTTTCCGTCGACAATCTATCAAGGTTTAATTTTTTCTTTTGAAATAGTAATCTCAACATTCGTTGGGATAAAATTTTAAGTGATGTATTGATTTCATTGGTGGATCACTTTAAATTCATGGATCTGATAATATCCATTCAACTATTGCATTAACAGATAACGGTATAATGGTATTACTACAATTTAATAGTCATTTAATAGTATAATAATAGATGCAATTTAATTAATAGACGGTTACTCATTGAAATGCTGATGGAATTTAGCGCAGTAATGCATACCGAATGACGAGGGATTTGTTCTTGTTTTCAAGGACGAATGCATAAAACCATCAACAAATTACACACATTCCAAAACACATGCATATGTGCATCCGGAAAAACCGTTTTGCCCAGAATTTTATGAAGAAACTGTTTATTGTTCTCTTTCTGCACTCCTCCCTCCCCCTTCATTCTCTTTTTGTTACTATTAATTTCTCTATATTTTCAAGAAAAAAATTTTTTTTGATTGAGCATGAAAATATTTAATCTGCCAAGCCATTTCACATTGTTTTTACAAGAAAATTAAAAGGCAACACACATGAAAAACACGGAATTTGAGTTTATTCACCTTTAAACATATTTTCATGCCCTCAAAAAAGTTCGAAAACTTTCATTCTTTCTTTCTAATTCATGCCATTAAGAAGCAAAAATGTTCACTGTATTTAATGAAAAATGATAAATCATAGTTTTGAATATTAAGTTTCATTTCCATTTACTTATTTTTTTGCTATTACGGTACATTTCTAATGTTTCCTTTTTGTACTTGCTATAATATGTAAGATGCTTACCAGAAAACTATGATAAGAATTCTGGGATAAGAAATCAGCGACATCTAACTTAGATTATATTTGCTTATTTTAAAAGTGAAAGGAGTTTCGAAAATGTCTGTCACTAGTTACTTGTCGAGTATTGCAGACAAGTTCTGGACAGTCATGTAGATGTTCCAACGACACAGAAGCGTATCTGGAAGGAGAGCAGAAAAGTGGCGCAAAATCAAGCATACGGTAATACTGCTCCTGATATGCCTTCTGATCCACCGAAGTCATCTTTTAGCAGGTTAATTAGTTGACAATGTTGACAATAGCTCTCGAATCCTTTTTTGGTTCATTTCAAAAGAAATTTTTTTTAAAAATTCAAATTGGCAGATTGGAACTAATGGACTAATTAAATGATTCAGTTGACTGTTTTTACATAATAATCGAATTTAAGCAGCTGCTCAAATGGTTTTGCTGTATCAGATTTCCGAATGACCCATTCGGCTCCGTCCACGAATACATCTGATCGAAGTCGTTTGACATCAACTACCGATCATTCGTCGTCGTTACATCATCAAACACCATCACCAGTACAGTTGAAGAATTCATCGAATCAGCATTTGCATCGAATACGAGAATCCAGGAATGATGCTGGACTTGCTGGAACACCTAGACGATTGCAGCAATGGAATTTGGTTGCCAAAGGTGGACCATCAGCTACTGTGCGTCATGAGACCGCTGATGTTGTTGACGAAGAAACAAATATTGAAGTTAGAAAAGATGAAATTGGTCACAAGTCATCCGATATAAACTATACGTCCAGAAAGACTGCAGCGATCAGTAAATGCAGTCATCCCAAAGCAGCAACGTCCCGCGATTGCGATGAACGGAATTATGGATATCGAAATGGTATCAGTGGTTCTACCAGCATAAATAATCAGTATAATAATTGTAACACAAATAATGATGATGATATCAATTTGGAACGTAACGTCCCTGTTAAAATAACACTGGAAACTGAGGAAGTTCCAGAGAAGAACATTCAGTTGTTCTCTAAAAACGCCACTAATTCAACCGACGACGACAAGGTATCCCTTTTTATATTTCATTTATACCGTTTCCATCTTGCCTAAAATGTACATTATGCTATTGACCTTTTATCTATGTGACCGTATTGTTCGTATTGTTTTGACATTAGAATCTGTACACTTATTGATATTTTACAATCTCGAATTGTAAAATTTAGAGTCACATGTGATTTTTAAACTTTGTCCAGGTATTTTCGACTGATGTGATAGCCTCAAATCCATTCCAACGACATAATTCTGCTTCTGGAACTGCAACTCAGAATCAAACTACGCAGCAAACGCAGTTGGGATATTTTCCACTCAAAAAGTCCACTTTAATCTGTTTTATCAGTAATTCAAATTTTTTTCAAGAAAAAAATAAAAGAAATATATTAATCACATTTTTTTTCATCTAGGGAATATTTTCTTGGTTATTCTAATGTATTATGTTTACTCTATCAAATGCTTCTTTTATAAGCTTTAATGTTGCTGTGTGGTTTCAATCTCCAACTTTTTAGAAGTGCGGACTATGGTTCCACGATCAGTTCATTGACCCAGAGTTCGAATATGAAAACTGAAGTCAGCGATATTGACTTCAGCTGGGTGAATGATGTCGAAAATCGCCTTGAACGAGAAATTGCCTTTGTGAGAGAAGGTTTCACTGCATTTTTATCATTTTTCTGAATTTATTATGGCTTTGAATGTGAATTCGTACATATTCCATCTTATCGTTCTGTTTTTTTTTCAAATTATTCAGAATTATTTATTTTATCTTTGTTTTATTTTCGTTTTATTTTAATAATTTTTGTTTCATAGGTTCTCGACAGCAACTACCAGTACAGTACTTTGGAATGGATTTGGATCAGTCCAAAACTGATAAAGATGAGGCAGCGGTGGTTGTTTCACCGCCATACACTACCACCACAAAATCACTTGAGGTATTCGGTGAATGCGAATCTCGCAAAGAACTGAGCCAAATACATTCTGATGTTCGTTCCAAAGCGGCAATGTTCGATACAGAAGCTTTTCGAAATGAACGAAAAGTTGATGAACAACAGGTTCAGTTATATTTCTAGAATATTAGCAATCACTAAATTTGTTTTTAAAAATATTTTTTATCTTGTTCTTGTTTTGCTAGGCCGCGTATCGTTATCGTTCACGGTCAACTCCCCATGGTAATGTGTACATACCTCAGCCCGATTACCAAAGTTACGATCCAATTTCTGTAGATATATCACAAAATTCGAGCCAGTGCAGTGGTATTTATTCAAGTAATGCCTCCCTTGCAACTGGTTCAAAATACGCTCGATGTTTACAACACCGTAACGTGAGCTATTGATTCATTCAAGCTAATTATCTCTGACGCACTCAAAATTTTCATTAATATTCTCATATCATTTAAGTCACATTTTATGAATTTGCTTTTCGCTTAACTTCATTTCTTCATCCGAAAGTAAGTATAAATAAAATAGACAGCAAGTAATAAGTGATTAGCAGAAGACAAAGTGATAAATTCGATGGATTGAATTTGAAGTCTTCCAAAAATATCAGTGATAGTTAAAAAACTTGCATCGTTTTCAGAAAAGCAGCAGTATGAAGGTCAATGGGAATGTTGCAGGGGTAGAGGCAAAATATGGCAATTCATATCGTAATAATAATGAAAAAATGACTAAGCAACAAGGTCAACAGCCGTATTCCGATTATGGCGATGAAATGTTGCAGCATAATCAAACATACGGAGCAGCTGAATGCTATATCCAGAATGCAGTCCGACGTAGTACTGAGAAACCATGGAGAATATCCGTCGCTTACTGACCCAAATTTTCAGTCTTTGATTTTCGTAAAAATTTCCTTTAAATGCAATGAAGCCTTTATTCATGTGCTTTCAGCTTTTTGTTTTCTTTTAAGTTTTAGATGACGGACACCATTCATTCTAAAATCATAGTTTCACTTGAGTGGCACAGCACTTTCGAAATTTTTCACGATTTAAAAATACTTTGTATATTGAAGCCATGTTTATTCCTTTGTTACTGTGATTGTTTGTTTGTTTTTTTATATGTTCTACTAAAAATATATATCAGTTGCAGCTTTTAAAGAACATAATCTTTCATGTTCATTGTTCTAATAATAGATTTTAGAGTTTCAAACATCAACTTATAAATTTCAGTAATTTAGTAATATCATTACTTCTAACTTCTTGGGAATAATGATATTACCAAGTTTCGAAGAACTTAGTAATACTACTCCTTCCAAAAAATTAGAGATTGATGCTCAAGAAAAAATTATATCATATCTTCCCGCCACTGTACGCAATATTATTACTCTTTTTACGACGTTTTTTAAAACTATTAAGAGCCTTGAGGATGATCGTTTGATTATCATCCACACGCCAAAGATAACCACCGCAGAACATCTTATTTCAGATATATTCGTCTTAACCAATGATTTTGTGCATTTTATATAGCAGTCTACTTTGAGTGATCACTTGAGCATCTTGTTTAATTTTTTTCCCTCGAAAAAAACTTAAAGAATCTTCGGCTTTCTCCTAGAGATTACATCAACTTCCATTTCGAAACTTCAAGTCAGATTATTCGTACAAGTAGGCTTTTGATATGAAGCTATAAAATGAAAATTAACTCAGTATTTCGTGATGTTTTTAAGTTCCTGGCAGTCCAGCACCAGCGCCAGGCATAATGAAATTTGATTAGAATGGAAATTCTTCGCTGAAAATTTTGATTCAACAAGAAAAAAACTTTGAGTGTCCTAATGATGAAAGAATGTCCAAAATGGATATAGGCTTAAATGTGGTTAGGATTTACAAAAATTAGATTTCTAAGCTATGGAAATAGCTTAAAAATCTAATTCCTATATTTACATACTAATCAAATGAGTTGATATGCAATGAAAAGTTAGTTGTTCAGAGATTTCCGCTGAGATATTTGAGACTTGAACTCCCCTTAAATTTTTCACAGTTTGAGTGGCTACAATAATTTTATCATTCACTTTACAATGCAACTATTAAGAAGATCGTGTAAAAAACATTGTAGAAATGACTTAGCAAACTAAAAAATCAAAACAGTAACAGTATACAAAACGAGTGAAAACACGATATACACAGCCGAATTCAGAAAAAAAGCGAGCAATGGTATTAAAAGATAGAAAGTCAAGTCCCATATTTCCACTTCTAGAATATGAGCCATACTTTACAACACAACGATCCACAACGTAATTCATGTGTTTCCCTACCTACAAATTTTCAGAATATGAGCCATACTTTACAACATAATCGATCCACAATATAATTCATGTGTTCCCTTCCCTACCTATAAATTGAAAACTTGCAGATAGGGAAAGAAATACATGAAATAATTCAAACGAATCGTGCATAAGAAAAAGAATGCATTATTCAGATACCGGTATGATTTATGATATTAAAAAAATGGAATATTAAAATATGTATTTCTATAGCCCCGCTTAAGCAAATTTTTGTGTCAAACATTTTTCTTCGGTACAAAAATAAAGCTCCTAAAATTACAATTTAAAGGAAAATTTAAAAAGTAGATCATAATAAAATGAGCGTTAGTTTGTAGCACTTCATTCTGAAAGCATAAGTGATAACACTCATTTGGACTACGAATTTGTGATGTTTATGAGTTAAGCAAATAAAGAACGACATTACAGTGTTCATCACTGATATGATACCATATAATTTTGACAATCCTAGCCCGTAAAGCCTAAGACGTTTGAGAGTATTCTTTTGCATAAATTGATTGGGTTTACGAAAGGCAAAAATCTTTCTGGTGAAATAAAAAAGGACAACTGATAATTAAGTACATACATAATAAACGCTTGCAGAAAAAGGTATGAATTTGCATAAATTTTGTAATGGGAGAGTTGTTTCGTTTTAATTCCTAAAAGAAATGACTAAGGTAATTTTAAAAAAAACTGAAATGTGAAACCATTAAAAACTAGTCTCGTTCTTTCGAATAAAATTTTAATTACAATGAGCTTGGAGAAGATAAATGTTGCAGAAAATGTTGTGCTTACAAGACGTAATATACGCAGAGACGAAGGAATCAAATGTCAAATTTATTAGTACACAATAACCTTGAAATTATAAGTTTTTCTTCTGCAGTATATTTGCCACGAATTCCATCCATATTTAGCCTTCGATGATTTCTATCGTTGTTTGATGCTCACCTCTGCTGGCCAAAAACTAATTTTTTTTATGATAAGTTTGTCTTGCAAGTAGTCCGTGTACCAAATCGCATCCGAGGAAATGGCCAATCAAACCTTTAAAGAGATTTCGCAAATTAAAGAAATTTATTGACATTTAATCACGATGTTATACCAAATACATCAAAATGTTATGAGCCAGGAGACAGAACAGTGAAGGAGGTGAAGAAAAGAAGACCCCAATAAAAGCGAAAACAAAAATCATACGAAATCGCTCTGCTCAATAATTGGAAATCAATTTTAAAATCTACAAATGAGAATACCTTGAAATATAAAAACAATGATTAAAAATTCATTTCCGTCATGCATGAAAATAATACCTTCTTGGTACAGGCCTGTGCAAATTTCCCTCCATAAATAAAAATAATCGATACCAATAAAATTTTGATAAGTGATTATAATGAGAGCTGGCACTCTGAGAAAAAAAATACTATTTCATTCAACATATATTTACAAAAGTAAATTACAAGTAGAAAAAACTAATTTTATCTATGTAAATTAACTTTCAACTATGCGGAATGGCATGGAAAATGATAAATCCCATTAGTAACAACAAAAACATACTCGAAGACTTGGAAAAGCAGCCAATGTATGGTAAGTCCAGAAAACTCGCGTGGATATCCAATATGATATTATAACATCAATCGTATAATGAGCACGAGATATCAATAGCAAAAGAACACCAGCAGCTGCGACCATTATTGAGAAGAAATGCAACGGTTTCCAACGTCGTGGACTATCTAAACTAACTATTGAATGCGAAGGAATTAGCAGTTTGTCAGAGAATGACCACGAAGCAGAAAAAAATCAGCAAAGAAACAACTCTATAAACAGATTTAATTTTTCTTGGACGATCAAAAGCTTCGCGAATTTATAATAAACTATACTTTCGTTTGTTCCTACTCTACTGAAGAAGAAAGTCTCCGAGAACTTACATTCTGTGATAAATAAGCAGCTAGTGACAAGGACAACTGTATGGCCGCTATAGATGTAATCACCGCAAAGTGTGTGCTTTCCGTTGATCATCAACCCAGCACCACTTACAATTCGCATCGCTCTGAGGACTATATTCCTTAGAGTATAATCAGCGCCCTAAATCATCATGCATTTTTTATTTACGACTGCTGTCATTTGATTTACTCCATGCAATACAATCAGCGCCTCCTCCTAAATCAAATGACAGAAATCGTAAATAAATGGAAATAGATAACAAAATAAAATCCTTAAATTTAAAATGCCAACACTTCTGGATGGCACTAGTGATAAAAGGCACTTCTTAATAGTACAGAAAGGAAATAAAAGTAAAATCATTTAAAAAAAATAAAGTTTTGTGATTTAATTTTAAAACTTCAAGGAAAGTTTAATTTAAAAATTTTTTTAACCAAACTGAAAACATAAAAGCAATCGGGAGAAGGGACTTACACTTAGACGTGGTGAGCAATAATAATTGGGATCTGCAATAGGTACTTGTGTCACGAGCATCGTTAGGCAACGCCCAAAATATAATAATGATCCGATAACGGCGATTCTTCTGTAAGAAGGCTACTTTTAGCCTATGTATTTTTCGGCTTTTTTTTTTGCTTTTTATGTAGGTTTCCAGAACAATTGACTCCTCAGTTTTTAGTGTGAATGACAAACAGTTCATAACAGAAATTAACAAACCTAATTATAATCCAGCGGTGCCTGTGTATGACAGTTAATGCAAGCATACATGTGAATGAGGCAAGCATAAGATATTCGGACACTGTTAATGCCCATGGAATGTAAGGCGTGTGAGCGAATACGGCATCCGGCAATGGTGGTTCTTGTGGTACTTTTTCATGGATAAACGATAATACTAGATCATTGCATACAGCCGCTGTTATCAGCAAACCCACTGATATCTTCAACTTCTACTTCCAATTAAGCAAATGACTTGGTCATTTCGTAAAAAGTGTTATAACATCATACCTATACGAATTTCTCACGACTTTATTCTATTCACCCTCTTTTATCGTTTCCAACTGTCTTTTATTAACATCACGGCTAACTGCAGAAAATACTGTAAATTAATGTTTAATAAATTATGATAAGAACTTACGGCAGCTTTACAACGCTCTTTTGGAAATTTATCAATAGAATTGTTTGATGTCTTGACGATAATATCGGAAAGGTTGAGATCGATTTTAACGGTATTATTGGCTGACGACACAAAATTATTTAATAACGGAGCACGTCCGTCATTGCCTAAAATTTCTTACACTTTCAGAGGCATGTATTTCGACCATCATAACAAATTCCTTAATTTCAATTCACTACCAAAGTCAGCAACATTTTTAATGTGTTACTGGTCGTCAAATTCCTCATACTAGTCTGTACTACATCCTCATACGTAACATTATCTATACGTAATATTTATCTACTGTTCCTACTATCGACTGTTTCGACCGTGGAAATTATATTACTCTAATCAATTCATTCCAGTTATCGAAATTTTTTTAAACCAGACTAGTTTTCGAAAAATGATATCCAATAGAAAGCAGCATCATAATTACCTTCAGAGAAATCTTCTGAATTGGAACTGCTACACATTCTTCGTACAGTACTTGAAACAGCAGTGATTTGTCCATCCAACATTACCTTCAATGTAACCACCCTACTAAAAAATGACCAAATATCTCTTCGATTGCCAAGCTGAAACACAAATAATTCACTCGATGCAAAAATGGACCATGTATGCAAACGAAAAATGACACGCAATCGCAGTAATCCCTTGTTTTTCACCGAAGCTGTTCATTTTTTGGAAAAAAAGTGGACAAATAATAAAATTACTAATATCTGAATAACATTCAATACAATACATTCTCCCATGTTTACATAACTGCACATGAGACATTGCTGTATCTGAAAGAGACTAATAATGTCAGCTATAAACTTTGTGGCCCTTCAACAGTTAATATCTGATATTCCAAAGACATGTTCAATTAAGGATTTCAGGAAAGATATTAAAATATCACCTATTCCGTTGTTATCTTGGACAAAAAATTCAAATATCTGGATTTTGCAGAAGATACAACAAACGGCACTCCAAAATTTTATATTTAAATATTGAAGAAACTATCTATCAAGATCGATACCACAACAGATCTATTAAGATTGATGAACGGATCAGCAAAATAAATTGAAAATACAAACAATTTAAAATACCGATCAGTACAAACAAAAAGAAAAGTAAAATGAAGAGAAGGGAGTAAGGGAAATTAAACCGGTTGTTATGATTTCATATTTTGTCAGACATTATTAAAGCAGAAAAAGTAACACCATTACCACAATACTTGTCGAGAACAAACTCGAAACTTCTCGAAATTAATTTCAATCCAATATCTATCACATAGCCAAACCAAATAATTATACTAAAGATTTCTTCTTAATGGTTCATCATTTGTAATGTTTCCGTTAATTTTCACATTCTCAAACTTAANTCGCACTTTAATCTTTATCTCAATTATTTTTGCTCCAAATAACTAATCTAAACGTTCCCATCATGTTTAGCCGCTTTCAGATTATAGAACCGTTTTCTTCTCACAAGTACGTTCCTTGTCATGTGAATTACCATTTTTGGTGAACCATATCCTTATCCTTGCATGGGAATTCCGTTC